AAGTGTCGATTAACTCGGCCGTCCCGCATTGCATCACGACAGCTACCCGAAGTAGATGTCGCCAGCTCTTCCAGACCACCAAACCTTCTCCACGGAGACCGCTTCAACAATCTTTGTGGAGTATTGGCGTCTTCCATTCTGCTTCGAATGGCCCTCTGGATGCAGTCGTTCCTTGTTAGATCCAGGGATTTTGTCAAAGTGAGGTATTTCAGTCTCGGATTGGCCACAAGTGCATCAACAATCGAGGAATGCCCGCCCTTGACCGCCAACATCAATGGATCCTCAGAACATTGATTCCTGAGGTTCACATCAATCCGATCATGGCTTAGTAGTGCTTGGACTATCTCCAAGTCACCACCACCGGCGGTAATGCAGAGAGCAGTGTCGCGAGTTGCGATCGTATTTTCATTGATGTTCAGACGTGCGCCTTGCTGCACTAAGAGTCTTACCACATCGAGATGGCCATGTGCAACCGCTCGACAAATAGGCGGATCTATTACATCCCTTCCATTGATCTCCACACCCTCCATACTCAGTAGACAAGCAACCGTGTTCACGCGACCGTGATATGCAGCCATGGAGATTGGAGAGTGGCCTCCAGCACAGATATTCAGACTGGTCCCTGGCACCGCAAGCAGCCGTCGTAGGAGCACGGTATCCAACCTGGCCGCGGCGTGGTGGAGAGATGTAGACAGCGTCTCGAATCTCCCGCGGCCTCCAACAAAATTGACGTTGATGTCTTTCTCGGCCAACAGCCTGTCGGTTATCTCGTCGCATGTCCAAATCCAGATTCTTTTGCCTGAGAAGTCTTTTGACAGCCTCTACTGACCCATAGGCCACTGCTTGCTGAAGAGGTAACTCAGCCTCTTGTGATGATTTGGTACCAAGAAACACCTTGGCCATCGGATCGTTTGAAAAAATCATTTCCATCACGGGTCTATTGAAGCGACATGCCCAGTCCCATGGCGAGTGGCCCGAATCATCCTGTAGATCAGGGTCGCTGCCACTAGAAAGTAGCAGATGCACGAACCCTATTCTGCCTGCGAAGACTGCTAGGTGGAGCGCCGTTCGGCCGTGTTTGTGCTTGACGTCCACCTGGACGTTGGGTTGTTCTAGAACGCGTTTGATGGTGGAAAAAGTTCCGTAGTGGATGGCATACCGCAGGGCGCTCTCCCGCGCTTGATTTTGAATGTTGATGTCTAGGTCTCGACGATTGAGCAAAAGGTCCCGCACAGCAGGGGAAGAGTATTTGAGCGCCCTCATTAAAGGTGCTTTGCCTCGGTAAAATGCATTGATGTTGGCGTTGTGCTGGAGCAAAGCCTCCGCAAGACCAATGTTGTCGTATTTGACGGCCAAGTGCAACAGATTGCTGTTCTGAAATTTGATGTTGTATTTCCAGATGCTGGGCTGCAGTTTAAAATCGAAGTCTTTGCATGATTTTGCGAGGGCAAATAATGCACTACCGTCCAATTACGACACAATCCACAGCAAAAGCTCGTTGGGCAGGTCTCTGATGTTTGGCTGTAATGTATTAGCTCATCGCTAAACTCCGTAAGAACGAATTGAACAGACCATGATTGGACAGCGGATTGAGCAAACGAAATGTAGATAGGGGTGAGGTGAGAATTGTGAAAGTAGGATATGGGAGGCCTTTATATACTCACCTCAGCCAAATTCCGTGGTCAGCTAGGAGTGTAGTCTTTCACTCCGCTGAGAGGTGCGTAGCAACCACACGGCAGCATCAAAGCCTTGGCAAAAATATTTCGGCGGAGTTGGAGAATCTCTGGAGTCTAGCTCCTGGGAACGCCAAAACTGTTCCTGGTAGTGTGTTGATGGCATGGGAACCGAATCTATCTCTACGTACCCACATCTTGCATCTAGTGCCATAAGAATAAATCACAACCTATCACTCACTTTGAAATTCCATAGGCAACCCAGAATTTCACCCAGCACTTGTCGACTATGCTGCCTACCGCAGTAGCCAATCTGTTCGCCAATGCATGGTCGCCGCGGTCTACAGCCAGAAGTGCAGCTGATTTTGGCAGCAGTGGTCTGGAATGATATCCCTTCTCGCAGGCCACTGATTGGCCGTATAGTGGCGCATACTGCGTGCGAATGCATTCTCGGACGTACCGACTGTTTCAAGGAAGTGTTCCATGCCAGCCACGCAGCCATGTAGGTAAGGAGCCCACGGCGATGGCATATAAAGCTGGCGAGGGAACGCCGCAGTGATGGCCCAACACCACCACAATCCGAAGCATTTTCTGCCTTTGACGACCACCTCAATGAGTACCATGCCTTGGAACCCATTTTCTGTCTGCGGAATCCCTCACAGTGGTCCTGGCTCCTGTTGCGGGATGACGAAAAAAGGTGTCGGGAAAATGGTGATCAGCATCGTATTGACCCAAACGGTACCTCTGGGATTCTAGAGGATTCGATACCAGGTATTCTCGAGGCTATTTTAACCCCCTCGATCCCAGTAGATAGGAGAGGGGAATCAACACTCTTTTGATCTCATCATTTTGGGTAGTTCCCCTCTTTGATTCCGTTGCGCCAATCACCTAGTACATCCATTGTATTTCCCTAGCTATACAGGATATTCCTGTAAAAAGGCGAGCCAAGCAAGAACTCGATCAAAGTTGAAGACACCAAGACCGGCCATCAAAAGTTGACCACTCTCTCCAGAGAGCCGTTTGACTTGTCAACGGTGCAGTCGAAGCTCTGTGATGTCGCCAGAGACTTCCTCTGCGCAAGATGGCACCGGCAACGGCAGGCCGACCAAGTTGGCCAGCAGTGGTATGAAGCCGCCGTCCGCAACCAGGCCCGAGTACCACATGGCTCCAGAATGGCTTCTCCATCAGTCATTGTACATCCCGGCCAGCGTCAGACGTTGTCAGCCTCCAGGCGCCGCCCTGCATCAGACAACACTGACCCGTCACCTTGCGGGCTCAGACAAGATCCGCCGGTGCGCCTGTCAACCAACCCCGAGCCAGTGCAGCCATTCAATCCATTTGTGACTTCCACAATGCTGCGGACGAACAGTGTTCCATGGCGCATTTCTCCGGCCCAATCGGCTATTCTGGCGTCGGTTGCTAATATCTGGGCTGGTTTCCAAGAATTGACGCTCCAGAGTCTCACCCCGAGCGAAGAGGTCGACGGAGAGGTCGACAGCATCCACTGTGTGTTCTGCCTGACCGAGGATGAAGAACATGCGAAAGAGTGCGTGATCTTGCATTGCCGTCAGTGCACATCGCTCTCTCATCTATCCTGCGCGGAAGAATGGTTGGAAAGGCGAGATACAGGGTTTGGCACGTCATGCTGTGTGTGGTAAGTGTGGATGACCTTATTTCTGAGACGACCAAGATGCTGATGACCGCAGTCGAAAAGAAGGAGCCCTAGATGCCTTGATTCGCCCTTTACCAATCCCCTCGTCGAATACTGAGACACATTCCGTCCACTCGGCAAGCGGTTCGTTTCCACTGGTGGGCCCCGTCGCTCACCCAGACTAGCAAGGGCTCATCTACCACGAAACCCGTCCACCTCTGCACCGCTTCGCCGGTCAGCACGACTCGATCCCACTTAGCGTGGGTGATTACAGGTTACAGGCGAGGTAAGATGGAAATAGGAAAAGCGCCTTCCAATCATACGGGAGCGTAACTGCCAATCTTGCTGGAGATTTGTGCAAAGGATGCCATGACTGGTAATAGCGTTATTGAGTGACCTGTGTAACGGGTCAAACGCGTTTAATACTATATGGCCATCCTATATAGCCTTCTCCCTCCACGCTCCTTTCTGCCACCACCTTGCCCGTTACTTCTACCTATTGCTGTTCTGTTTATTTCACTCCTTATCCTCTCTATTTTTTTTATAATAGTTCCTAGACTAGTATATTGAATCAAATCGGCTTCAGCCCTACACAACTACAGTCTTGCAGAGATTCAGGGTCTAATAAAGGCTCCGTGATCGATGACGGCCTCGGACATTATACTATCACTGTCGTTAGTATCAGATCGATAATGATTGTCTGCATTGAGTCCTGACTGCTCCGTTTGTTGTGCTGCTCTTCTGTGAGAGAGGCGACTGTCTCTTCGGAAGCGGGATCATGCTTCGTTCGATAATATAGATAGGGGTTATGGCCAGTTGTTCCGAGACAAGAAAGTGCCCAGTCCTAACCAAGCTCGTCACTCCGTTGTTTGATGCACTCCTTATCTGACTTTACATGAAATTAGGGTCTCTGAGATTCGGCGGATACTTGTCATCTTGTAAGGTTAAGGTTTTCGGGGTAACCCCAAATCCCAGTCTGCCACGTGGTAATTATATAGTTTGAGAGAGGACCCGAAACAGTGGAGTGGGAAGATACTTTCGAACGGGTCTGGTATTTTTCTTTATTTTACTTCAACCAATTAAGTCACATCTTGGTGTGGAAGGCAGTCTCTGGTGATGGTGAGGTTATCGAAGCCAGATCCACTGAAAATGTATGGATTGTACCTGCCATTTTGGGAAAACCAAGGATTTTGAGATGACAGTAAAAATATCGACAGCACGGAGCCCGGACCTATTTACGGTGAAACTTTAACCAGCAGAGCAGGATTTGATCCTTCGATTTCGGAACACTAGATCGCAAGAACCGCCCCTCGAAGCCTTTTCCTTGCTTTCTTTTCTTCATCGGCTTTTTTTAATCGAATAATGCATCCCCTGTCCATAGCTCCCTGGTCCCACTCCCCCTAAAGGAGTCTTCCTCTTCCCGTGCGTGAAGGAGTGGATTTTTGGATCTCCTTTGCAGCTTTGCTCCCGTGGGATATCAGGGCGCTGTCAATCTCTCCTTGGACTGGTTTTCATTCACCCTGTCTTTGCTGGCATTCTTAGTTCAGGGCTGGTATCTCCTGTTCTCTATTTTCTTCTTCTTCTTCTTTGGATCCATCCACGGTTTGACAGCTTGATACCGGTGTCAACTATTCCTTTCTTCTATACTATCATCGGCCCTGTCGACTGCTGGAATCATGTACGAGTCTACCTGGCTGGATCTACACCGCTTGAGCCGGCATAGTCTCCAAGAACGATATGAATCGGACGAAGAAGCTGTGTCCGAGTCTGATACCGGAGCCCAGGATCTACTTTCCTCGCCGATGGGCTCTCCGGTTGAATCCCAACGAGCTGCCATTTTCGATTCAGACCTGAGTGCGGACGATGCCTCTCACATGGACCCTGATTCGGATCGCGAAGAATATTTGCTGGCGCCACCGGCAGTCAAACGGCCACGCCCTGTGTCTACGGATACTATCAAAAGGACGAGCAACGCTGCCTTCGACGACAACGCCTATGTGTTTGACCCGGAGGAGCAGATGGTGCTTGAGCTACCATCGCCAGACTCTCCTCCCCAACTGGCGTCCAGTATATTCTTGCAGCCATCGGTATACGTCTCACCGAAGCCCAAGCCAACCACCAGGTCTCGATCTACTTTACCTTCCTCGATATTCTCAGTCGAGGAGGCAGACATCCAAGTTGCAAAGAAGGTCACTTTCATGGAACCCCAGACACGGCCTACAGTGGTCCTGATCAACGCCCTGGGAAAAGGACCAAGCTCAGGATCCCGCTCAAACCATTCTCGCTCTCAGGAAAGCAGCCGCAGCCGTCCTCGTCTCGCCACAGCCGACAACAGGCTAGCATCATCACGCTCCTCAGAGCACATCTCCAAACGACACTCCTACAGAGAGACAACTCCAAAGCCAGCACCATGGAAGCAATCACCAATCCCAGTCCCAGCCCCAGACGACTCCGATGAAAGAACTGCCCCCAGCGCAACAATCAACCGCGTCTCTGAAGTCCTCATAGTCCCCTCCTTCCCAGAACCATCACGCACCATCCCAACAAACGGCAAAACAAACGAATACCAATACATTCCCCGCCCCCGTACCGCAGGCGCAGATAGAACAATGCCACCGCCACTACACATCCCCCCCCCGCCTACCCAGACGACCAGAACCCCCTCTCGCGGGTTAACAGCTCCATGTCAATGGTCTCTGTTCCCTACTCCCCTCCACCACAGTCATTCTCCTCCTCGAAACGAACACACGGTTCGTATCATCATCCTACAGCGTCTCTAATATCCTCACACACCGCTCTCCGCTGATGATGCGCCGTATGACGAGGAAGCATTCGTCGTCGAGTGTTCATTCTATGAGTTCGTTGCGCTCTGAAATTGATACTGTCGGGCCTTCTTCTTCGCAGGTTTCCGTTGCTACGCAGCCTGTTATGGGTTCGGGTTCGGGTTCGATGGTTGATTCGAACTCGAATGCGAATACGAATGTTGTGCGCAAGTCTACTTAGCGCAGACATGCGAGACATGCTAGTGTTCTTCCTAGTGCGCGTGGGTTTATGGGTTTGCAGCCCGGGAAGAGGTTGCATAACAAGGCCTAATTTTCCTTCCTACTCTTCCTTTTCCACCTTGACTGTTTTGGTTCAGTCTTTTGTTTTATCTTTTGCCTTTTGATTTTGTTGACATATTGATCCAATGATGTTTTTATGGGCGGTAATCTCACCTTGTCGCGTAGAACGGGGGGGTTCTCGGTTTGTTTGCTTTTCTCTTTTTTGGGCGTTTCTCGTTTGGGTCTTGATTGATATTAGGCGTTTATATGTTTCCTGCTTTCTTTTGACGGCTTATCTTGTTTCTTCTTTCTGATCTTCTCGGACTCCTAACTTGGAAGTAATCTATCTCGAGTTGAATCTTGGAATGACTAATGTCTATATCTATTCAAATTGGCGTTTGGCATTTGGTTCTTTGCTTTATCAGGAAGGACAAGTTATTTACTAGGTATTCTTATGTCTTTTATACTCTCCTTTTCCTTAATTTACAATTGCCTGTTGGTTTATTCAGGGATATACATGGGCGTTCAAAAGTATTTACCCACTCCACTTTTTTCGGGTCCCCATGCAAAATATATATTGTAGTGGTGGAACCAGTGACATAGTAAGAAAGATGGACGGACTATTAGTCACGTGGCCAGTCAGATAGCATTCCTCCATGTTGGGATTCCAGCAGAGGACTGGGCTAGCATCATACAATTCACTCTTTTCGTTTCCAGCCCTTTTATTATGAAGAAGTCTCAGGGTATACGCTCCGCTGTCTACTAGTGCTGTCTAGGGAGTGTTGGTTGCTTGATCCTTCATCCATGATATCGACCTGTCTGCTATGCCAGACTGCCATTGAGCCATCCCCATTTCAATAGATAATAATGGACAAGTCGATATCTATCGCCGAATTTTTAAAGCGATATAGAGAAAAATTGCGAGCCTCTTCCATGAGAAAATAGGGAAGCCATCTACGTTGTCTTCAAATCCCGATTGTATTGTCGGCGGACATTTAATAACGAATTTCTAATTTAAGTACAGAGTAACACAAGGAATCGATATCTGGAGAACTTTGAGACTAAGTACCAAGCAAGAGCATCAATGGTATACCGTGTCTCCAAAGATTACATCCCCCTAATCAGTTATAAGACCATCAAATCAAACCAGTGGAATTACAGTATAGATGAATTTCGGTGTGATACCGGCGCTTAGGTTCCTTCCGCTGATAGGCGGGTAGAGCGCGTATTTAATACCTTTGGGAATGTTGGTATCACCAGCTAGGTACTGTGTACACAGTTAAGTGGACAGTGGTTATGCTTCCAAAGCAAAAGTCAATTTTGATTCATGTAAAATAGATGTGTGTGTCTTCTCGGTCATCTCAGGTTCCAAGATACCCCTTAATCCTATGCACGGACACTCGGCGGTCACAACACCGGAGCCACAGCTCCGCGCAAGAATGCGTACACCAAGAACGGGACGCTATGTCCCGACAGGGAAGAAGGCACTTATCAATAGGTAGTCACATTGCCCTCTAACTGAAAGAAGAAAGAAAACAGCCGCAGCAAAGGGGTTATCTTGCCTTGTCCAGCTAAGATTCAGAAATCACTCTGCCGAAAAGACGAGCAGTCCATTTCAATGAATTTCCAATACTTTTAGCAAAATTGAAGTTGAATGTGTGTAAGTTGCCCTACTGAAAACGCGCATGGGCTTCTCGAGGTTATCATGTGCTACTGACGTATGGTGAAAGGGGGTCTCTTTCTTCAGCGAATGGCTTCCAGGAATTTGGCCTAGGTGGTATACCCAAAATGATGAGGGAAACAGCGGGGAACTAGTAAGTGCAAGAAGTGTGCAGAAATGGCTTGAAGTTTGCTTAATGATTTTCAATCCTACCAAAAGGCTTTTGGACCTCTAACTTTACTTTCCAGCAGAATGCCGAGCCCAGGATAGGCAATGCGGCTCCCAGGGCACTGTTCATAATTCCTAATATCCAAGGAACTCCTCCTGTCAGAGCTCAATCATCTAGATAATGCCGGTGTTGGGTCGCTGGCATATGCGACAGCCCAGGCATCCGCGTTCTGTTGCAGCTCAAAGAAAAACCTTTATGTGTCACCATGGGCCTTTGAATGCATGATTAGTGTCCCGAGAAACATGCCGGTTGCTCCTAGGACGAAGGAACCCCTTCCTAGGAACTTATCCGGAATCAGCGGACTGTAATCATCAAACCTGGCTACATATCTTGAGTTACTGTATACAGTCTTTGAAACCAACAGACACTATAAGTTCCGGTTTTCCTCTTCTATGGACTCTTTGACTTCTACCCGTATAGCTTCAGTTTACCTTGAACGTGTTGTGCTACAACAATCGCCCCTACATACTGGATTCTTCTGCGTCGCAGTACCACTCGCCCTGAGCTGAAACCGCCTTTCAGCAATACGCCTTCCGCTTCTGCGCCTGCTGAGAAGAGCGTTTGACATATCCTATTGCAGTGCATCGGGAGTGACAGTCTATCACCAATTGTTATGTCCACGCGTCCTATAGCTATCACACGTTTTGCTTAAACAGTTGGAATGCAACGGTGGTAGCTTGCAATATTGACCAGTCCAACCACAATGCCTCTTCATTCCTGCCAATCATGCCGCAGTTTGAAAATTCGATGCAATCGTGAAGTCCCCCATTGTCAAGCTTGTGTCAGGCGTGGTAAATTGTGTGTTTATGCAACGAAAGGGCCAGACCGGAGACCTGCTCTCTCAGAGCTACGGCCAAATCAGCAAAAGCAAGTGCAAGAGGGTGAATTTGGTGATTACCAAACTACATGGAAAGTACAAGAACCGCCAACCGAACAGGCTTTGCAACACGGAACGAGTACAGCTGAGGCTATGCACCACGTCGTAGGGTGTGCAGATGATGAACATATCCAGCACTTGAAGAAGAAGGGTTTCAAGCAAGATCAAAATCCGCCTTACGAGATACTACCAAAGATTGTTGCGGCTACGGTGGCGGAGTCGCTTTCCCAAACAAATGGCCCTACAGCTGCTGAAGATATTATGGAACGGGGTCGAAGCTTGTCAACCTCTCAAACGACAAAGCTGTTTGTGCAGATGACCCCTCCGGTAATAATCACAATCTATGAGGCTTTGAGACCCACGACTGACTGTCAACCAGACCTCTTTGCCTCCACCGCCGAATTTTGATTTTACCATAGCTGGGAAAAGCATTTACTGTCCACCCACAGTCCACCAACTCTTGTTGGTTCTAAGTTATCTTTTCATTTCCTCAATGCTTCCTATGGATGTAGGAGCTCTGTGGAAGGTCATATGTCGCCGCGGCCGTGACTGGGAAGAGAGCTTTGTCTTGCTGCATGGTCATCTTCAAGGATGGCTAATCAGTGCCCGCGAAGCTTTGACTAAGTCCGACGGGCTGCACACAGTAACATTGGAAGACATAGGACTCCAAACAAGGTATTTATTGTTCCTTATCGGGCAAAATGCATCCCCTCACTCGAGCTTTCTAGCTGAAACCTTGCAAACCGAACACGCTCCGTACCGGCCGTTTGGAGTGAGGGCAAGCGTCGCATTGATTTGTCATGTTTTTCAAGGCATACAGGCTGGTGAACTTGAGGGATATGAATCCAAGGAAATCTGGACTCGCGACCAAACCTTTCTGTCAACGATGGCATGCCGGCTCAAAGAATCGCCACTGTTTGGTGCCGAGGTCTCAATGTATCATTTGCAGTCTATGATACTAAGCCTACAGAGAGCTTTTCAGTGCGAAGAAATCCGTGTTTCCACCATTGAACCCCGGATCCTGAGAATTAATCGCCAATTAGAAGTGGCGGGATATTACCGAAAGGCATTTCTAGCTTTGAATCCGATGTTGTTGCCAAAGATATTGGACTCTTTGGGTGAAGCTATTAATATCCCTACCCTGTCTGGTCCGCACCAACTTTGCAATATGGAGAGGGGACTTGAAAGAAGTAAGTAAATTGATATCCAGACTGATACGGCCTTTGACATGGGTATAGCCAACCTGGCCTTACATCTCGCCGACATTTTCAGGTCACTTACATCACAGCGCCTGGACGTTGCTTTCAAGACTATGCAAGAGATCCAGCGGTCCAAGGCGGATAAAGTCGTTGTCATTGAGATGTTTCATGTCAAATCATACGAAGAAACATACATGTTGGACAAAAGCTGTAAGTCACGGCATTACAAATTTTGCCGAAAACACTTTTAACAGTTGCAGATCCCACGACTGTTCGGATTTTTCATGTTTGACCGTGAAATTATCGGATGAATTGGAACCTCAATATAACCCTTTTGAACCCTATATACCAAGATGATGTGGAAGTTGAGATTGTTGTACTGAAACAAAAAGCGTTTTAGACGTGAAGATTAGCGGAGAATGAGATGAAATGTCCATAATTTCGATTTGTAAACTCATGGGAAAACACACCAGTAGAAATAAAAGGTGATGCACCAGGCATCGCGTCATATTGTGGTTGAACTTGACTGACTCCATCTCGGGTTCTGAGAGACCCGTACCTGTTGATGGCTCAATCAGCCTTGGGAACGCACATATTTGCCCTAGGAGTTATCTTGCCCCCGGGGTTTCGTGCGACTATTCCCAGGAGCAACATGGCCGCCAGATCATAGTTGGTTATTACTTGGAACGTGTGGAAGGGAGTTGCATTTCCGGTCCCTCGGCAGTTGTTATTGCGTCTTGATTTGGGTGCCCGAAAGCTACAAAAAGAAACATTCAACCAGCGGAGTCTCTTTGCCGTTCCACGAGCGCTGGGGCCTTTAGGTTTATCGGTTCGCAGTCCGCTATTATTGTGCTGATATGAAAATATCAGTTGAGTGTTCTCATTCCAGCACCTTTGGGATGTACGGGTGGTGAATGGTGTCATGTCCATATCAACGTTAAAACATGAAACAACAATGAACACCAAAACATGTGAATCCTCCACCCATGGAAGATATCTATCTGAGCCGTGTTGCTCACATCTTTGATAGTGGGACTTGGTTTAATTTGATCAGTGCAAACTCATTCTTGATCGGCCGCGTTGATTCACCAAACAGTGGCAGTTGTCGCACAGTTGGAAACAGATCCTAACATTGTTGGCAAAACAAGCTCAACAGAGGAGACAAAAAATTGGTGGCTACATTTTCCTGAGGAACGGTTCGGGAGTTTGTCAACCAACAGCAAAGCATAGCTTCCTCGTCTCACGATTTCACCGAAATTGATATGGCCTATGTACAACCTGTCACAATCTTGGAGATGTTGAAAGTATTCTTGCCCCGTTCTACAGGACAGTAAACCTGGGAACGCATGGGATGATTCCAGGACTTGCGTTACTCCCTGTCAGAGATCGAGCATATATAGTAGCTTGGGTGTTTGGTCGCTGACCAAACATTGTGCCTTTTTGGCCAGATGGCGTAGTGGTAAAACCCAAGCATCCATGAACCGTCACAAATTCCCAGAGTCCAATCAAAACTGACAAGAGGATTTGTCAAAGATTATCCCGCCGACCCCAAAGTTGGGTGTCTTCACACTCAACAAGGTTGCACTTAGCTGAAACCCCAGACAAGGTACCAGCGCGTTAGAACTATATTGGGACTAGGTTTCGTTCTGGAAATGAAGCGATACTCCCAACAGCTTTTGGTTCGAATGTGAAAGTATCACGTATACATAGAGGCTGGTATTGTCTAGAGGTGAATTATCAATATTAAGAACAACTATAGTTGACTCGAAGTACAAGACGTGGCGCGAGAAAGCCGCTTCTGCTTCCTCGCGTTCAAGGGAGCCTGGATGCATGTCCCGCATATCATTTCTCCACGCATCGCGTATGCTTCATATATAACTTTGAACAATGCGACTAGAGCTCCCAGGAATTTATACTGTTTTTCAGGAATGAGACGAGAAATTTCGGTTGCTAAATAAGCCCAGACTTCATCCTCAGGCATGTAAGAGCCCAGCGAGAAGTAAAGGCCCACTACGTGCTTTCTCAAGCATCTATATATTGCACTCTTCCTACTTGATCACAGATACCACTCGAGAATAGAACTCTCCAAGCGGAAGACTACACCCCAGATCTCACAATCACCCCGAGGCATTTACAGCTATTCCTCATCATGGCCTGGAATCCTACTCATCTCCAACGGGTATTGGGCCAAGCATTGGGCGATCCCCTGCACCGTGAGCGGTGCATATGGGATCACTGTCAAAACACCGTGCCGATTGATTCCCGGATAAATGGAGTATTGTGCTTTCAGCTCTCCCATAACTCTTCTTTCGCATATCCTTTAGCGCAGAGATTATCTTTGGCTGCAAAGCAATTTCTTTGTTTTGAGTGCAGACGCCATAGCTCTCGACGAAAGGTGTGGGCCAACCAAATTTTGCGTTTGTTAGATGCTCGCCTGGATCAAGCCAAAGATGTCATGGGTCAATCGGAAATTCATGATTCGCCTCTATTGGTACATGCGTGGCCAAGCAGCATGCCCTACAGCGTTGACATGGCCGTGTTCCCCAATGAGGCCTTCTCAAAAACAAGGAAAGACTGCCCGAAGAGGCAAATCGAGCGGTGCTTAGGTTGGCCGGAGCCGTGAAAATCCGTCGTCCGGATCTTCTCCAGACGAGAAACCCCTTCAGTTGAGCTGTATCCGTTACATGCCTCCAGTGATAAGCACGGTGTTCTCCGATAAAGAAAGTTGATTGACGTTCTCTGGCAACTGTCACATGTTTCCCACGGAAGTGGCCACCCGAAAGCTTTTGCTTTTTCACAACCCACCCGCCCAGCCTGCTACTCTCCTCACGGGATCTGAGTCAGATGATGAGTTGTGCTTGACTCTGTTTTGTGGCGCTCTGTGCTGATGGATTGCAAGTCAATGGGGGTGTTTGTTGTTTCTTTTTCATGGTTTCTTACGTTTGTTGGGGACACCTCTGGGGATGGGGCAGCTGATCGCCGCATGCGTTCGGATTCAGAAGCGGTGGCAGGGATATCTGGGAGATATTTTGATCGACTGGGAGAAAAGACTTTGAATGAATTTTGAAGCTTTCGCTTAAGCTTTGGGAAACAAGAAGTTAACATTTTTTTGGTAAGTCCCAATTGTATTTGCGCTTGTAGTGTGTAGAAGACTGACAAAATGGTAGTTTGAGGAGATCTTTAGAGTTGGGAAGTGACTATTACATCCGAAAGATCATTCGGAACCGGATAGAAGACGATAATTCCGGTCAAACGACTTTGGCGCCGTTGCCAGGGAGACACATGGGCCGTGGTCTGTAAAGCGAGTGATATTTAATCTAGGTAACTCTCGTGATATGAAGCGCTATCTGAAATCGAAATCTGCATCACAGTCGTTCAGATGGTTCGCAGTCACAATAACGTCACAATTAACTTCAACAAACGCTACTCGATTTAGGATCCGATGCATCAGGAATACACTTGCAAGCCACCATTAGGGATATCATCTGCAATGTGTGTTGTAAGGCTTCACCTGTCGCCCAATTCTTCATATAACTGAGTATTTGGGTGAACAACAGGTGAGATCAGGCATCAACAGTTGAGGTAACTGTTTACTGAAGTATTCAATGCTGTTGAAAACCAGACCCAGGGGGTTATGAGTGCAGTCACAGCAGCCTTGCTGTGACTTGCCGGTCTATAAAAGGCTCTCGAGCAGAACTTTTCCTCCATTTCATTTCTACAGCCGCGATGGACCATCCTACCTCGCCTTCTCCAATTGATCGGCCAGCCAAGAGGCAGCGTCGGATGTCCCAAGATGGAGAAGATGAGTCCTTGGAAAACCACCCACAAGAATCTTCAAACGGCACAATCATCGAGCCCAAGGTCAGTCATACCCTCTTCGGCAGGAAATGAACAGATACATTAACACTCTGCAGATCCCAGTGACACCTGGTGCCCTGACGGCGGAGTTTATGAAAATTCTACAATACAATGACACCCTCGCTACGCCAGCCCTGAAACTGCTTGACCTGTACTTTTGCCTATGGGAATGCTACGTGGTCAAATCTGCCGAGAAGATGCGACTTGAGGATGAGCAGCGACAGCTTCAAGAGTTGAATGAGTGGCTAGCAAGCGACAGTGACATCCTTCTGCAGCTTTGCGAGGAACAGAAACTGGTACTGTGGGATCGAAAACGAGCAGTTCAGGCCCTTTGTAACGGTGTGGTTTCAGCCTTGCAAGCGAGTGATGCTCAAGCCTGCCGTGTTGATGGGAATTAATAAGGTCTCAGTATTGTTTGACACTCGTGGATAAGGACACGTTTCGATATTTCTGCTATGTATTTGTGTTCTCTCCCGAATATCGTCGCTGATGTTAGAGGAGGTCCATGCAGGGGCCGATGAAGATTCCGTTGGGCTTGGTGACGGGGTGTTAAGTTTTCAGACTGTTAATACAGCCAACGCTTGGTTTTCCAGCAACTTAGCACCTGGCCATAAATTTCTCCTGATTTCCTGGCTCTTGTAGTCAAAATAAACAAATGTCTGCTATGCCTATGACATTCCCTCCTTCCCAACCCCCGTTAAATCGCCGGTTTATAAACTTCTGTAATTCTCACTAGCCTTTGACGGCAACTTTAACAGATAGAAACTTTGAATGGAAATGAATGGATTGAATAAAAAGAATAAAAATGAACTGTACCCATTGATTCAACGATTGTTGTGCTAAAATTGGTAGACTGTGCTTTAGATTTCGACCTTCACAGTCAACTACATTTCCAACAACAGTGACTTTCTGGTGGTTGGGTGGGGGAATGAAACGCACTCCCAATTCCCATCACCAAGCGACTCTCATTCCGTAGGAGCCTCACCAGCCGGTTCGACGAGAGATGGAAGTTTGTTGGCAGACTTTTTCTTTGTTTTCTTTTTGACACTCTTCGTGGGAATAGAAGCTGCTAACAGCTGCTCCGGTTCTTTGGTATATTCCAGAGCATACCCATGTTTGGCAGGTTGCTCTGGGCTGGGTGATCTGGACTGCTCGTCGACTGATTCAGAGTCAATTGCGTCAGCTTCCTCATGTAGCTCGATCGAGCTAGAAGAGCTAGAGGACAATCTATCCCGATTTTGTTGTAAGCTAGCCTGCAAATCATTGTTCAACTCTACAGACTAGGTCAGTATAAGTATGAGTGTAAGCTGAATTCGCTTACCAAGGCCTCTGATACCAACGAATCGCTTGCAAGTATCTGAACCTTTCGTGAGGATCCACAATTTTTTGTTCAGTTGGTCCCGGAGGCTTTGGCTCTCCTCGGATTCACCTGCTATTTGACCGACCAAGTCTTTGGGCATCTCGAATGCAGTTATAGGTGTAAAAAGCGTAGGCAGTGCACTGAGAAGCTTGACTTCTATTACTACGGTGGCAATGTCATCAACAAAACGTTTGAGTGCAACCTATTTTCGGCATCAACAATTTAATCAGAGGATTTAAAATTTAGGCGGTGGGAAGGACATACCTTGTAGTAGGAGAGCATGCAGTCAAGTGCCTCCTCGGACGCAAAACGTGTCATGTCTGGTATAGTATTCTGAAGAAGAGAATTGAAAAGCCCTTGAAGATTGATGGCGTGCAGCACAGGTTCAGAGGTTGAAAGAGTATCAACACCAAAATATGATTGAAGAGCTTTGCGGAAGGCTTCTTTTTGGCGATCAGTGCGAGTCTTTTGGAGTGTTTCGGTGAAGTAGTGGTTGTAGGTGATAGGATGGCCTCGTTGATGCGGCATAAGGAGCTCTTCGCTTCCATTCTCCAATGCATGTCGCAAATTCCCCAGAGCTGGCAGAATCACCTTTTTGAACAGGGCCTTTGAAGTAGCCTCGTCTGCCACGTAGGAAACTGCATGTTGAAGAAACTCTCTTGCAGCCGTCCAAGCCGCGGTAATGTGGCTGTGTGTTATGTCTTCCCACGGGCCGCATTGTTCTTGAAATAGATCCTTAACGATCAAAGGATTAAAAGTACCAGGTAACTCTCGACCCCTTGTCTTTTTGAGAAGCGTCTCGATATGCTGAACATATTCCTTTCTTGTGAGACATACTTGAGTTTTGGAGCCCGATCTTTGATCTTCACCTTCAAGCACATGGCGGAAATGGCCACGGCGGGAGATCTTTTCCATGAATTGCTGATTCAGATTTTGAATGACTGCTCGGACGCGCTTCTGGTACCCATTTTTTGTTTTCGCATCTCCGAAGAAAGGCTCGTTGTAAGTGCCGTCCACTGCTGCTTTGACCAGAGATTGGAATGCTTGACTGATATGCAAAAGATACGACCGTTGTTCGTCTAATGTTGCGCGAGGGTCGCCAAGCTTCTGGAGTTGCGACCGACAGGAATCGATCTTTGAATTTATCTCGTTGATCAGGCTTGGAAGTTGATGATGATGATGATGTATTCATTTGCCCGATGTAGCTCGCTCTATATATATGCTGCTATGCGGGAGTGCTGTCAGGCCTGCCGACAGCTGGAAGGTGGTCGCCAGCCCACTGGGCGACCGTCAGGGAACTCGCCTTGCGAATTTCTGATCAATCGCCCTCGAATCGAAAGACGTAAACTAAACAAAAGAAATGCATGGATGCAAACATGATAAACACAAAGCCAAAATGAACGTCATTTACCCCTGGTCGCGGGTAGGACCAGGGCCCCGCTTCAACACACCATTCCCACGCCCTCTTCTCTCCAACTGTCCAGTCTTGTCGGCTGCCGCTTGCGCGCTCGCTTGGATCAAGGGAGTACAGTGGACCTGGCACTGCACTCCCAATGGGCGCCATCCTTCTTCTTCCGTCACACTGTCTAAGGGATCATTGTCTCCGCTCCTTTGTCGTCCCCTTCCTCGCCCAGAGCCGTAGGGTCGACTGTCTGAAATTGGCCTAGGAGGCCGGTCTTGACCATGAATTCGGCCACAACTGTGCGGGCCTCCGGTCGTGTGAGGAGTTCGTCCCGGTGGAGAGCGACTCCCTGGTATGAGAGAGCGCTTCTCATCCAGTCTCGCTCGTCCTGGTGCAAGGGGCATTCCAGTAGGACGTGTGTTACTGTTTGGCTGCCAAGATCGCAATCACACCGCGCTGTTTCGTGTCGGTTGATACGATTCAGGTAAGCCCCTAGGCCAATTCGCCCAGTTCTAAGCTGCATCAGAATCGATGTCGTCGCTTTGCGCAAGCCCGTCCAGTATTCCAGCGTCTTCTTTGTTGGTGCTTCAATCAAGCGTTTCGTCGGACGACTGGTCGCTTCCTTGGCCCACGTTCTGTCCCACTCCAGCTTCGCTTCTCTGCGAATTCGTCGTCTCGCTGCGGCTGCGAGACATATGTCTCGGTTGAGGGGGTTATGCAGCCCGTCCTGTTCCTGCGCCGCTTCTTTTGCGTGTTGGTCCACGATCTCGTTGCCAATGACTCCTTGGTGCGCAGGAATCCATGTGAGTTCTGTCCGAATACTTCTGACCGCGAGTTGTAGGATCAGGTTGAGGCATCCTGCTAGATAGACCTGTCCTGACGGCATCCGCGGTCGCCTCAGCGCCTTCAGCGCTGCTTGGCTGTGTTCAAAGATGACTACCCCGTTCTTCGCCTGCTTAGCCCATGGCTCTGTGCTTTCCAGAACCATTTCAAGTGCCATCTCAATGGCTCGAAGCTCTGCCGCATATACGGTGGACGTATTATCATCTCCCATCTGGCTATGAGCATGTTGATCCTCAAGGTCCACGACCGCTGCCGCTCCGATCCTTCCATCAATCCCGCTCCCGTCGGTGTACAGTATCAAGGGTCTTTCTCTTGGGTCTTTGGTCAGGATCTGGTTGTGGTGGTTGACCGCAACCTCTCTTTCCTCGATGATTACCTCCGGCGGCGCTTGCCATGGTGCCTGGACGAATGCCTTTCGATTCTCCCAGTTCCTCGCGAAAGTTCCCGGGAGAGTCGTGAGGCATCCGTCCGTCCACCCGATTTATTATTCATATTGCTTTTCTTTAGAATGTCAATGGCTCTGAACTAGCTTTAGTAGGTGATATATAATGTAATTAGTGTCTAAGCGCAAGGATCGGTAGGTTTAATTTTCCAGAAACGAAAGTCAAGATTAAGAGAAAGGAAAAAGTAAGGAGCTTTTCTGGTTTCTATGGGTTCTTCCTAGCCAACGAAATCGGAGATCCTGGAGACCAGCTGGCTCGTCTCCAGGAATGCAGGAACCGTCTCCAGGAGCACTGCTATGGCTCCCCCACACGCCTAAGCTCCCGGATCTTAATTCTAAAGCACCAAGGAACATGATTTCGCATTCAAGTTCATTAAGAGCGTCCCGTGTTCTGGAAGTTACTTTGACTTTTAAGTAACTTAAAATCTACGCACGCGTTAATATTTTAATAATTTAAATTTCCTATATAGCTTCTTTCCTTAACAATTCCGACACAAGATACTTTATAATACCCGACACCAGCTTTGAGTTGACTTAGCCTGAATAGACCGTGTCACACTCGAGCCAAGTGTTTTGTAGTTGGTTACAGCCAGAACCTGTGGGTCCACTAACTTGTCTCCAGCCGTCACACCCTCCTCCAGTACCTCTATCGAACGTGACGAAGCAAGACGACCCGTACCCTTCACCACCGTTTACTTTCATCGATCCATGGACGTATCCGTTGCCGAGTGCGTAGTTGCCAACCAAATTTTGACCAGGCACATTCCTAAGAGTAGGGGAATTAATTAGCCTATTTGGTTTGGGAAGAGGAGGATAGGGTAATTTAGAGAAGCTCCGAGCGGAGGGGCTTACATTTTGCAGAGACAACCACTAGCGTCCGTCTGCGTGTTACTGCCCGGCGGAGGATGGCCACCAGCCACGCCATAGCCGCCATCGCCGCCATCGCCGCCATCGCCGCCATCGCCGCCATCGCCGCCATCGCCGCCATCGCCGCCATCGCCGCCATCGCCGCCATCGCCGCCATCACCTCCATGGCCACCATCGCCTCCACGAGCTGAGACCTCACCTATAGCGGTGAGGAAGGCAAATGTAGCCACAAAGAATGTTTTCATCGTCGCGTTTAGCCGTCGTAGAAGGTGTCGGAAAAGAAGAAGTAAGGAACTAGCAACAATTCTTTTGTTGCCTTTTCATGAATGGACTGACTTAGAAGTGTGGTCGTATGGTGAGCACCTTCCAACGTAGAGCATATATATATCTTTATATATATATATACATATGTACAAATTCGCTGCGCAGGAGCCAGTTCCGGGCGTTCCGTGCCGCTTAAGAGTAAGGAAGGACATTTTGCCCCCTTAAATCTGGCACCAAAGGAACTCTTATTTAGGGATCATGTATCCGCCCCACAGACATATGCAGCGCAACCCTGGCAGTATTCTCATGGAGTTTTTCAATTTCTACGGAAATCATTTTCAATACAATACGAGGAAGCGAATCTGCAGCTGAATCGTAAATTACAACAAAGCGAAAGAACCACTCGCACAGCGTCTGGGCCGTCATGGCAAATTATCCCGGGTGGGATTTCGCCTGCCTATGTGAATGGTTGGGACACTACCTCGGTAATTAACACAGACTCCCAGTAAAACTGGTAACACTAGCAAACTTTCTGGTGGATAAATGTTGGCGTACACTTGCACACTGAAACATCTCGAGAAATTTTGGGAAATCATTTGAGTTGAGGAATAACGATTAACAGTTTTCCTCACTGCGCTCGCCGTGCTCCGATGCGTTTGCTGGTAGATTTCACTGTTTACTGCAGACTCCACCTTGTTGGCGTTAGAAATGTATTGCAGCTGCATTAGACTCTTCCTAAATGTCGCGCAGGCATTTTGTCCACCGCATTGCATTTTGCCGAGTATTTTATAATAGGTGCATTTGTATAGTAGGGCTAGCTTCGGTTTGACCATAGACACTCCGATCTACATGCATCGTCGCCATCTAGCTCTCTGGGTCGTTTTGGAATGTGGCGGTCCTCACCTCTGGCGCAATCGATAGAAGGGTCCGGTAGGTAATCGCTATACGATACTACAGGGCGGATCGAATCAATGTTCACGATTTTATTCGTTCGGTCGTCCAAAATATAATTATTCTATATTATCCTCATCCCCCGGAAGATCCATCTCGGCTTAGGGGGTGTGTGGCGTAAACAGTAGTGCGTCACTGGTTAGGTCTTACGCGAAAATGCTAGCTGGGGTCCAAGCACGGAACGTAGGGACTGCGGGTTCGAATCCTGTCACTTTCACAACTTTTACCCTAGAGGCACCTACCGAAGAAAGCCTACGCCTTGGTTGACTTGGGTAGGACCTGGATGGTAGACCCGGGGTAGGGGTAGCTACTGCGGTACGCAATAAAAGGCGGGTGGGGAAAACTGTCACCGGTCTAGCCTTTCAGCTTACCTTCCGAAGTACTAGCCGTTTAACTCGGGCCGCTAGGAAAGAAGGATGTCCCCTCTGTGGTAGCTAGATTGAGAAAAGGTGTAACAGTTCTGCAAAGCTCAACAAAGTACGATCTGAGTTCCGGGGGCGCCCTGGATTGCATTGAACAAAATACAACATACTGAACAATTGGTCACTCGGTCGCTTTAAAGCACTAGGACAGACCGTCCGGTCATTTCTATTGGGAATTCGGCGTTAAAAGAAGGTTTCTTGTGGTGCCAGTCCGGGTGCACCGACCTACATAGCTTACCGCACGCTTAGGCAGGCTCCATTAGGTATAAGAAATATCATCATCATCATCATCATCATCATCATCCATCTCGGCTTGATATGCGAGATTTCCTTGGGCCAACTCCTTCAGGCTCGTGTTCAACCATTCTTTGGCGCCAATAATTTCATGTTGTTCGTTCATACGTCGCTTTTTGCTCCTTCTTCCTTCGTTTTGGTCGGTCGACCCGTGAAATACCGTTTGGGAAAGATCCTCACCTATATACTCGGCGTGCAAAAGTAGGAACGGGTTCCCCAAATATAGCGAATAGCAATCTCTCCCGTTGATGCCCCGTGTTGGATTATCGCTAGAATATATATAGAAATGATTTTGGGAAAACCCTTCAAAGAACGTATTCAAAGCGGATTGAATATTTGGTAGCGGCACGATTTTATCAGGCTCGCCAGGAATGATGAATTTCATGTTAAAGCAGCTCGATGGCTGAATATCCATAGCTGGAGCAACCAATGTGGGATCAAACTGCGGAGTAGAACAGACGGGGAACACGGTTGCTACATTTTCTGCTGGTGGAATTATCGTGTTTTGAATCATGTTGTCAAAGTTCGGGTTCCAGAGAGAAGATTGAGAAAGCGTATCGTTGGTTTCAACTGGACGAACGAATTGACTGTCAGGAATATTTTTGAGATAGCGGAAATATGCCAAAAACACCGATCGCCGAGCAAATCCTGCAGTAACTCGGGGAGAGCTCCAGGGCTGTTCCAATACCTCCCGTGAAAGTGCAAACCGATCTGCCTCCACCGAGTCCGTATATGGCTTTCCATATCGTCTTTCTACTGGTAAGTCTTCTTCCAGACTTGCTGGAAAGTCACATGGTGTGAGGGAGGTAATTCAACAGGCTCAGCCTGGGGTCCATCCGCAAAAGGGGTGCTAAATCCTTTTTCCCTGGCAAGCCAAAAGAGGTGTTGCCAAAGAATTCCCCGTTCAGGCGTGTGAAGTCCTTCAACAGGTGTCGCCGCGCGTTGCGTGCCAGATTTTGTCCGCGGCATGCGGCGCTCGTGATTCGTCATTTCGAATCCGTACTGGAAGCTGAAACGCCAGAAATCATAAAGGTCCTCCCGTATTCCATGCTGACGATTTGAAGTCATGACAGGGACACTAGTGTTATATTGTTCCCCTAGTCCTTCGTCGATGGTTATCTTCCGATGGGGATCAGAAATGTAGAGTTGCTGTAGTACACTCCGGCTAACCTCCAGGGTGAGCCTGTCTTTGAAAAATGTCTCCAGTGTCGGTATGGGGTACTGAATCTCTTGCAATCGTTCCCAAATTTCAGAGCGGTCCTGAGCATGTTCAACATCAGGGAACAATTCTTCCTTTAACATTCGTTCCTTCAAAAACTTCAAGTCCCGAGCAGAGACTTTGGGCGCACGCGATTTTAATAGTTGGATAGTCACACCGTCTAATCGTGCCAAAAGGTCAAGCCTGTTTCCCATTAAGCCGAAGAACGTATTCTTTATGTGATTTAAATAGCACAGAAGAGGCTGATGCTTTCACTTAGCCGTCTGAGCATGACATTTTGGGCATTCAAATGGACGCAAGTAACTTACCTCATCACAACGCATTGCCACCAATTTATGGAGTAGTCCAATTCGCATGCCTTCCCAAATACCCGCTATAGGGAGCAGAGCATCGAAGGCTTGGGGCATTGTCGGATGTTTGAAGAAAGCTCGCAAATACTTTCCCTTTTTGCTTCCAGAAACCCTTTCTAGAGCAGCCCACCAATGGTTTGCTGCTATTCTGTTTACAGGGCCATCGAGATATCCTTCATAATACCTTATTCATTGATAGATTAGTCCATCCGGAGGTGTTTGATCATTCAGGAAGTGCTCTCGAAGAGACCGGATGAATTCTTCTTGTAAGGGATCTTCACTAGCTTGAAAACATCAGGCATATACATGCCGGGGGAAAGCGAACTACTTTACGCACCTATCTGGTCTGTGACGTAAACATCCACAATCCACCATGAATTGCTAGGACTGAGCTTGTTCCTTGCCGCGATAATCAAATTTTCGTGATCCTGTGCGCGCAGCTGATAGTCGATATCGACATCCAATTGATGGATTTGTCCATCGACCAGTCGTGGCCTGACGTAACGTTCCCAATCACTTCCAGGAACCAATACAGGGACATGGTATTCTTCCATCAGGCGATAGCACCCTTCAGTATCCATAATTCGCTCAAGTCGGGTGATATTCTGGCGGTTGCTCATTTGCTGCTTGAAGTTTTTGTCGAATACAAGACGAGAAATGTCAACACGTGCGGCCATCTTGAAATGTTCTTTACGATAGGTGAACAGTCTGCCCTCGGCTTCTTCCGCTTGAGCTTGAGATAAGCGCGTCATTTTCTAATGCAACGCGCGCGGAATGTTTGAGCTTGTCTGCCGAGAGAGCGGGACTATTTAAATGTCCTGGAGGAGAGAGCCAATTTCATATTTTGCCTTTTCGACTGATATGCCGTAGCCGGCATCAACTTGAGGCCCATGATGGTACACATTCCATTATAGACGCGGAAGTGGTGGTTGATCTTCTCTATAGAAAACTGAGGGAGTCAATTTCCGTCGCTCCGGCTAACCTGATCTTAAATCAGGCCTTATTCCCTCTAATGTTCGCTCACTGTTAGGAGTTCAACCGTTCCAATAGATTTTACTATAATGTAATGTCAATAACTTGGTCAGGCCATCACGTTAAACCAAATTTAGCTGAAACCAAACATTTGAGGGTTGTGTTGTCAACCGCGAACAGCACTCAATAATGTCTATGCCACTTGAACTTTAATGGGTACATGGAATGACGGCTCCTGACTCGGTTCACCTTGGTATTATATGTCTTTCTGTTATGACTTTAATATACAGGCTATCGCTTCTATAAAGAGCACATGGTTTCTACATGCTCGTGAAGGGCTTTCATCAAGGGACCCTTACCAGGACACTCATATCTTCTTCCAAACACCCCAATATAGCATATATAGAATGCTTCGGCACGTAGGAAAGCTACTTCCCTTGGCTTTCTCGATATCGGCCTTGGCCTGCATCGCTGTTGTCTTTGTGGGATGCACATCGGCCTCTTCCCCCACTGGATTGCATTTCTTAAAGGCAAGCTAATATACCATAAACCTAAGGAACACACTAAGCCAATATGAAATCCATAGGTGAATTTAACCAATTTCTCAGAACTAGGGAACTTTCATCTACGTCGTTCCCCCAGTATTGCCGGGGTGGACGGATCCGATGTAGCAAATAAAGCCAGTAGTGAGGCCAACAGTGTTGTGAACAGTGCTTCAACCGCAGTCATTTATGCCTCGGGCGCCGCAGAGACTGCAGTAAGCCAGGTCACTG